TTTTCCCTGTCTTGCGACCAAAGATAGCCTACGATAGTTTTCTGATAGTGTCAGAAATTCAGCATGATCAACGCACTGTGTTTGCTGCAACGACCTGCGTCTACTCAGCAGCCAATGAAATTGCAACATGAAATGACGTATTGATCCACGCAACCAGCAGCGCTACAATTTCAATGCCATGGAGGCAAAAACGATGTGTACGATGTGTCCTCTAGCTGCTATCATGACCGCACCAAAAAGGACATAGCATGGAAGGAGATAGCGGAGGAACTGCAGCTGCCAAGCTCCCTGTGCAAAACTGGCATCCCAAGTTGTCCTCTTTTCCCGAGCCATGAGCGGGTCCATATTGCCCTCTTCCACCGGCGCCACTTCTTTGTTTCAGTGCTCATGAAAAGCACAACTGCCAAAGCGCGATACATTGCCAAAGCGCGATCCATCTTGATGTACCGGTATTTGTTTACCACTAACGCATGCTGATGACGTTGCGCTAACGTGTGTCGCAGTCTACGATTCAGTAAGCGTCATCATCGTACAGTCTACATGCTTGTCGTACCCAAGTTTAAACGATCCATGTCGCACAGTGTGATAAAGTAATGATCTTATAGGATTGCTAAAATCGTGCGGTGTATCCCGGGCTTAAGGCAAGTCGTGATGATTTGAGAAGGCTAATAAATTGATCAAACATAGGCGATCAGCTCACTGTCTGCTGCTAGCCGCTTGGTCATTACTTTAAAAAACAAAAACTTATATTTAACGAACTAAAATGCTCCAAAAGTTTTTCTAAATGAACTTAATAAAAAAAAGGTCTAGGGCCTATATTTGAGGTCCGTGCAGGGCTCTACTGCCTTTGTCTTGTCCTCACTAGAATCTCAAAATTTAAAATCAAATGCCAACCCACCGAACGAATGATCGAATATTCTGGTCTAGCCCTAGCATCTAGCAATAAAATAGAATCTGGATAAATCTGTCCTAACCAGTCATTACAAGCGACATGACAAAGAAACATTATCTAAAGTACTGTAACACTTTTAACAGAGACTGAGATTTATTTTTAATTTTGTTCTTCATTGTTTTTAAAATGACTGAGTTATTCTTCCACTTATGATGTATTTAGAAAACACAGATGCAAGATATCATGTAGCTTTGCAACTGATCCTTCTTTGCTTCTCGTCGCCAAAAAACAAAAAAACAATAGAAACCATCACAGAATTTGTAACTGTTTTACTGGTTATAATGGGAATTGTATTGGTTTTAATGGAAACTGTAATGGTCCATGTAGGTCTCAACTGGTAATTTGGTGCCTTTTATTGGTGGCTTATCACTTGTTTCCACAGAGCTGTACAGTTCAATACAGTACAGTATGCAATTTTTTTCCAAATTCTGTTGCCAAAATAGTGAATCGTACCATACCGTGCCACTTTTTTGGGACCCTTCCATTGGGTTACCTTGCACAGTAGTCTGGTACCTAAAGGGTGGAGCTAGACTGACCTGTAGAATGCAGGGGTTAAAGCAAAAAAAAATCCTGAGCCTGAACTTTTTTCCAGGGGTTGCGTGGGCGGACACATACACAGGGTTATTTGGCAAAAAAAATAAAAAATAATAATAACATTATTTGAAAATAGATTTTCCTTGAAACTAACTATATCTGCCCTTTCCATTAGCCCTTGACAGGCTCAGACTACAGACTATGGTGGGCTATTTGAAACAGCAATACCAGGAAAGGTTACTCACTATAATGCAAACACATGTAACATTTAGGATGCTTTTGATATCAAGTTTTGCTGGTTAGCTTTCTCCTTGACAGGGTACAAGATGACCTACAATTTAAAACATGACATTTCTGAAATAGTTTTGTTCAAAAGAACTAATGGTAAATTAAATACTAGGAAATGAATATAAAATAGGAAATATAAAAAGACAGTTTACTACAGAAAACTACAGTTCAGTTCAAATAACAACAACAACAAAAAACATTAAAACGGTCCAATAACTGGTAACTTAAAATTCAAGGACTTGCACTACTTTTTTTGGTTTTCAAGGACTAAAATCAGATCTCACTTAATCAATATTGTTATTATCTTTCAAATTCAAATAAACACTGAGATTTATTTTAAATTTTGTTCTTCATTGTTGAGTTATTCTTCCACTTATGATGTATTTAGAAAACGCAGATGCAAGATATACTGTCATGTAGCTTTGCAACTGATCCTTCTTTACTTCTTTTGTAAGTAGGGATGGTACCTGAACCCGGTATTAAACGGGCCCTGGGGCTAAATTACGAAAGACTAGTATCGATAAGCTCTGATGTTATCGTTTGTGCTTTCGGTACTAAAGAAATTCAGAAAATACACTTACTGTTTATTATTGCTACATAAACGTTATCAAGCTAATTGAAACTTGAGAACAAGATGTTTGAGGTAAAACGATTATTGTGCCACATTTCATCTAGCGAAACATCCTTTTTTCGCACCGCTTGTGTTCCTCCCTAAAAGTCCAAACTATGGTGAAACAAAGTGAAGACTATGCAGTTTTTTGATTGTTTTAAATAAACAATCAAAAAATTGTGTTAAATAAATTTGATTAATTTATTTAAGGCTATTATTTATCTGAATACTACTGTTAGACCTTAAGTTAGCCTATATTCCCATATTCGTTGTGGCGACGTTATAGTGCTAGCCTACGGTCCTGGAACATAGCGAGTACATCTTAATTATCAAAATAACGCATCCTCCTTTACTTTTAATATTTACTTCTCACCTTAAGTCCGGGCCCTGAAGATATGCTCGGACCATTACCTTGAAATCCATACAGAACTGATAAACTCAAAAACATTCTCTGCTGTAAAAAATAAACTTTCAAAATTCTAATGGATTGTATTGTTATTTGGGATTTTTAGTGAATACATTCATTACATACATGCAATGCAAACCAATACAAAAACATTAAATCAAAAAAGGACAAAAACACACTGCATTCATTTTTAATCTACATTTATTCAGTGTTAGTTTCTACAAATAGCTACTAAGCAAATACAATTTGAACATTACCTATTTATTTACCATGTAAAGTGTTACCAAGTCATGAGCACAGAAAATTTAACATATCAATTCATAATTATACAATGAATAATGTAAGCATTGATTAAAATGTTTTATTGTTTTACTGAAATAGTTGTAAGTGTCTCATTAAAGATGGGTGTAGTTAAATAAAGATGTTATCAGTGAAAGTTATAAATAATTATCAGTACCCTTGATACAACTCCACATACTTTTGTGCAAAAAATAAAGACACGAAAAAATACATGAATCGATTCAGTAGTTTTTGTTTTTTTTGCACAGAGAATTTGATCTTACTACTAGGTGTTCTAGCTAGGAGATTTAGCTAAAAAACCTATTCACAAAACGCTTAAGAGTCTACAATAACTAAAACGAGTACTAAAAGGGGAAAAAAATCTTAAACAAAATATGAAAAATGTACACATCTTCATTCTGTTCAAAAGTTTTCACTTCCAGGCTCTTAATTAGGGATGTAACGATTCACTCAACTTACGATTCGATGCTCGATTTTTTTTGTTTACAAAATTAGATTTAAGACAAATTA